CCGTGAGCGCTCGGAGTCAAGCCTGGCTGAGGTTTGTATCGGTTGCAAACTAATTCGCATCGGCTCAGCATCGCGCCCTGATCGATGCTGGGGGAGGGAAATGCAGCAGCCGCCGCCACACAGGTACGTTCTGTGAGCTCGGCTGGGCTGTGCGTGCTGGGAGCTGCAGAGGATGGATCAGGGAGAGCGGAGGGACAGCCCTGCTCCTGCCTGTGTCCCTGGTCCCCAGCCCCAGGACGAGTGGCTCAGCCTGGCCAGGAGAGTGGTGCGTGCCCAGGGCTTCCGTGGCCGTGGGTCCCCGCTGCGGGGATGGGCATTAGCATGTCTAATTGGTGCCGCTCGGAGTGTCTGCACCCAGCAAGGTCGGAGCGTCTGGGAAGTGGCAGCTGCGAAGTCATCATCTGTCTCGGATGCAGAACTGGAGATACTGGGATGCAGGAACCCGCTCAGCCCCAGCCCGCCTGGCTGCAGCGACGCTGGGCTCGGGGCCATGGTGTTTCCCTGCGCTGGGAACACTCTGTGCAGGGAGAGGGAAGATTTGGTGGCAGTGGAGGGATGCACCCAGAGGTGGGTGGTTTTCCAAGGGCTGGGAGATAGGGCCATGTTCCCACCCCAGGGCAAACCCTGCAGCTTCCCCTCCCACCCGGGGCAGGAGGAAGGGCACTGGTGCCCGTGTGCTGGAGGAGGGATGGAGCTTTGCGTGGATCCGTGCCAGGGATGCACAATAACAAACCCCACCTTGGGAGCCCCGTGCTGGTTTTCAGGCTGGCACGTGAACGGTCTCCTCCGTCGGAAAACCCTCCCCGGGGAGCATCACGCATCCCTCCTGCCGGCATGATGGAGCTGGCTCCATCCCTCCCCTCCCACCCCAGCCCGAGCTGTCGCTACCAGCGTTTCTCCTGTACTAAAAAAAGCACAAATTTCTTAATTGTTTCCTGCTGGAGTTGAAAGGCAGCTCCCGGGCCCGAAATAGCACGATGGGGGAAACACAGCCGAACAAGAGAGAGCAGAAGGCGATTCGCCCGGAGGGGCTGAGTCGAGCCCCCACCGCAGCCCCGGGGTGCTGCTGTTGCCCCTTTCACCTGCCCCGAGGGCTGCCCGAAGTCCTGCTGCTCACCCTCCTCCTCCTCCCACCCCCCTTCATCGGCGCCTGCGGGCGATCAGGGCTGCAGAGCTGGTGATTCCCTGGGCATCCTTGGGGGGGTCCTGGCTGGTGTCTTCATGCCTGTGGGGGACACATGTGGAGAAGCCTGTTTCTGGTAGAGACCTTGCTCAGCATCTCGCTTTTGGAAGGATGCTCCTGTGCAGCCCCTTTCTGATGGACAGGGAATCCTTCGGGACTGGCACAACTTGTTTTTGCCCACCCCAGCTCAGGTGCTGGATGCAGCGTGTCCCTCCCAGCTCCCTCCTGCCAGAAGACCTCTGTCTTGTCCCCTGTCTGCTCTCCTCCTCCAGATACCCCTGCCAAAACAACCCTCCAGATCCCTCCTGCGGCATGGCCGAAGCCCTTGGTGCCCTTCAGCCTGGGTGCTGAGCATCCCTGTGCCTGGGGGGAGGCAGGGGGAGAGGCTGCTGGCCCCTCGGCCCCACGCTGAGCCCTTCCCGGGGGTTTTGCAGGCTCTGGCCCTCCAGCGGTCCCCGAGCTGGGCTGGAGGGACCCCCTGTATGTGCAGGGACAGCCTCGGGCGCAGCACAGGGACGCAGGGGCCAGCACCCGGGCGGCTGGTAGGTGGGGGTGCCCCCCGGCTGCCCCACTGCTGCCCCCTGCCAGCCCTCGCTTCTGCAGTCTGCCCCTTCTGCCAGGCACGGTAGAAATCTTTCTGATGGAAAATTGCTTTCTTTTATTTGCCATCCAAGGTAATTGGCATCTGTTGATGTGTCTTGGGTCTCTATTTTTATCAGCTGCTTGCACATTGACACATCTCCACTCCGCCTCGTTATCCCAGCACGTTTCAGACCTATTGCTTTTTTATTATTATTTAGATGCACGATGCAAAGGAAATGACTAATGAGGCCGTTTCCCCTGCGCCCGTCTGCTGGCACCGGGCTCCCCGCTGGCGTGCCGGCCAGGCACCGCTCCGGCAGCGGGACACACCGGGCAGGCACCAGCCCCCCGCCCCGGCGGGCTCCCCGGCATCCCGCATCCCGTCGGAGCCTTTCCTCTGCTGAGGACACGTGCGATCTCAGCAGCTGTTCCCAGGCTGGGGACACTCGGGGTTGCTGACGCTCGCCGTTTCCTAGCTTGTCGTGGTTTTGGGGTTTCTCTGGAGCCTGGTAAAGCTTCCTGGGGCCCTGGGAAGCGTTTGATGACATTTCTCTATGTGGTTCAGAGGCAGCTGGGACCTGGGAGGATGTGCCCATGCCCACGTTCAGTGTGTTGATGTCAGGGCCAGGCAGGTGCCTTCCTCGAGCCACCTCCAGGCAGATGTTTCGGCAGATGTTTCACAGATGTTTCCAGGGATGTTTTGGCTCTGGAGAGGCAGAAGGGCAGGACCGGATCTTCCCCAGGCATGAACCAGCCTGGCCCTTGTGTGGTCCATAGCACCTTGCAGTGATGGTGCTGTGCTCCCCTGGCAAAACGTCTTGGTGGGCTCCCCAGTGTTGGAGCCGGAGGCCCCCCAGTGCCTGCAGCCCCAGGCTGTGCCTTGAAGGTAACACACGGCAGCGCCTGGAGCACGCAAGCCCTGGGGCAACCCCCCCAGGGGAGTCACTGATGTGAAGTGCAAAACACCAGCCCTCGCTGGGAAAGCAGTGCTAAATTCCTTTTTTTTATTTTCTCTTTTCTCCTGTTTTCTCTTGCAGTTACGGAGAAGGAGGTGCAGCAGTGGTGAGTGTCCGGCGCGGCGGCGTGGCGGTGCCGTGGCGTGGGTGTGGTGGGCGAGGGCACACGCAGCAACCCCTCCAGCCGTGCCCAGCATCGGGATGCAGGAGGTTGCGCCTGTTTTGGGGTGCAGGTGTTACCTCATCGAGGAGAGACCGGAAAATAGTGCGGGGTTTTCCTGCAGACCTCGTGCGTGGTGCACGGCAGGGCTCGGCTCCGGCTGCTCGGG